CCTAAATTTCTGCAAACAATGCAGACTTTCCGCTCCATATTTTACGGGAAATAACCTCTAAAACCATTCGCAAGGGTAGCCGGCATTGCTTCAGAACAGAAATGGAAAAATACTGTAATCTAGTTGTGCCCCGACAACGATTTCCAAAAATAGTTTGTTTATATCTACCGTTTCATTCGCAAAAAGTAGACTGTAGGATGGATTAGCGAAATGAACGTTGGCTCCGTAGGTTCTGGGTGAAAATTAAACATCCACAGGATTCCACGATCGCAATTCTGGGCGCATGATGAATTAACACAAATGACAACACATCCTAAGTGTAGTTTGGAAATTGGAACATCTAGCTTTCATCTCCTTTCCGCTCTTCTCGTCCTTATTCGATATCCCAGGGAATATTCGTAGCAGGCACTATAATTAATTCTTGTGGTACGGTTTAAGACAATTGCTTAACGCCACCTAATTTTTACATAACCATCAGCCTTAATAAGAAAACACGTAATAAAACTTATAAAATATAAATATTGGACTTAAAACATACCTATCTTGTTTATAATGCCAAAATATTCATCCGAATTTTGAATGGAAAGATACTTTTCACTTATGTATTCAGCATATTAAAGGACAGTATACATTGTAGGACTTTTCTGTGATGATGTTATTCGTGTAGATAGTATATAGCTTTATTATGCAATACATACTTTTGTTACTGTAAAGACGTATGTCTGTAGTATTTGCCTTTCGTACTCGTAGGTATTTGGACTCTGAGAAGGCATTTTGGTCGTAGGTAGGCAATTGTCTTAACCTCAACTGCCATTTGTCAACAATATCTCAGTGTAAATACAGAATAAGTCATGGAATTATTTATTGAGATATGAAATTACTAGATGTAGGTGACCCTGGCAAGGATGTCGGTCCTGAAAACTAGAACGAGATGACCATTCGGCGCAGAGACGTAATAAGCAGAAGTATAGCCGTTGGAAGACACCTGTCTGCTCTGCTTAAGTTGTTTTCTGCTACCCCACTGTTTTTTTACTCGAAAATATTTACTTGATTTAAGATGTTTTTAAGTCGCCCATTACTACCTTCACCCTATGCAATTCTGTGACAAGCCACCACATTTACCTGGTTGACTCTTCACAGGACTTCGTTGAAGTTTCCGCCCGTCTAAAATACAAAATTTTAACTCAGTTTAGAGAGGGGTGGTTTCCGAAGGACATTTTAAGGTGTAAATAAACTTCAGTTGAAATCTTTAAAGCAGCATGTGAAAGCTTTCGAGCAAAATATCAGTGATGTAAAAGTACT